TTCTTCAGCGAATAATATCCATTTCACAAATTATACATCAGTGTATTCTATTAATAATCTCGTTGGTTCCTCCTTCAGTCGTATCTGCATTGTCTCTCAGAGACAGACTGTTCTTTGATTTCCATGGTCACACATTTCATGGCAAAGATGTATTTTCCGAAATTGCACAGCAAAGATATCTCTTTTGGCTTAACACTGGAGAAACACCCGAAGCATTCATGGACATAGTTTACCAAACGGCACCAAGATTTTTTGCAGTGACGCGATGTGGTAACGTAAGGCAACGAGCTAGACGGTTTAAACTTAGCGTTACTAATAGGATTCTGATTGTCTTTATTTGGTTACGAAAATATCCCCATGTTGATACACTTGCTCTGATGTTCGACGTCAGCCCTCAAAYAGTGTCTGCATTGCTCTATCAAGGSATTAGTATACTCTGGCATCATTTTCAATCAAATGTCACATGGCCTAATTTAAGAGAATGGAATGCAATGCGGAATACATGGGCAATGTTTCCTAATGTTGTTGGATGCATAGATGTTACTCCGCATGAAATTCAAATCCCCTSCAATGAACCACAACGCGAATTCTATAGTGGACACCGTCATTTTCATCTCTTGAACACTCAAATGATTTGTGATAACAGTGGACATATACGTTTTCTACAAGCTTTTTTTGGGGGGGAGTACACATGACTCTCAAAGCTATCGGTTTATGGTACCATTGGGACATGGTCTTACTCTTGACGTACCGCAAGGTGTGCAATTTTTAGCCGATAAAGGCTACCCCGATGTTGAGCCTTTGTTGACCCCTTTCCGACAAGTGCAAATCCGTCGACTTGGACGAAGACAAAGAAATAAAGCCAGAAGATTCAATCGGGAGCTAAGCCGAAAACGCATCAAAATTGAGCACATATTTAAAAATCTTAAAGATTTGAACTGCACGACTGGCATTTGGCGTCATCCAAGGTGGTTACTACCTTCAGTAATTGAGCTTTGCACGTTTTTAACCGAGCGCCGACTGACTTTATTTCAACAAATATAAATACATATTACTGGTCTTACTAAAAGTGAAATAAAAGCTCAACATATATGATTGCCTTGTTTATGTCACAATTCATATAGTGTTACTGTTTATTGAAAATTATTGCTACTGTTTATAGCATATAACGAATACGAGGCTTTAAAGTTGAAAACTCTATAACCTTAGTACAACCTTTATAGTTGAATGTTTGAAAATTGTCTATTGATATTTTTAGCAATCGGTATAGTCCCTCTAAACAATGAAGGTATTAACACCAACCCTAATTTGCATGYCGTTCRTACAATCGTCTCATTTAWCATATTTTACACTCTTGTGCGGAACAACTCTATAGACTGAACGGCGTCCACACTAGCGTATTCAAGCGTATCAGTGTGAACAGTTGAAAACACAAAWACGGTCATATCGATCAAATTACATGTCTTCTGCGATAAAGAAAACTCAATAAAACAAGAAAAAAACTGCTCAAGACCCTTTCATCTGGGCAGATAATGAAGTTGAACTTCTGTTAACAGTTAAAAACGAGTAGAAGGCTTTCAAAACGTACGAAAGCGAGTCAGTCCAAAGCATTATTTAATGCAGACATTATCGAACGATTCAAAAAATACATTCCATCGACAGAGGTAAAAAAACTCCCAATCGCTTTCATCTGGAAAAGACTTGCCACAAAGCAGACGATATTTCAAAGAATATTTTAACTACAAAACTTAAATCCATATGACCAAGGGGACTGATGACGTCATCGTTTTCAAAAGGAATCGTTTTCGCTGTCAAAACGATTCACTTTCAACAGCGTTTTCAAAAGGATCCGTTTTCGATGAAAACGCTCAGCGTTTTCGAGCGTATTGGTGTGGACAGAAGGGCAAAACGCATACTTTTCGATTCGTTTTCAAACGAAAACGCTCTAGTGTGTCAATTGTCTATATACTAATGATACAAATAGAATAAATGAAGAAAAAGCCACGCAACTTGTAACTAGGTTTTCTACTTTTTATTGAACGTTTCGGCACTTCGGCCTTCTTCAGCAAACTCTAAAACTCCAAAAAAAAACCTCCATATACTAATGAATATATAATGTATGTTCCGTACGCTTCAGAATGATGATATGTTGGGATGCAAAAGTCTTCATGTATTTATGCGTAATATAAAAGTTGGTGAGTCTGCGGTAGCTTGCGTTGCTCTGCCTCGAATGCTCACCGATTTACACACAACGACTTGCTAAATATAATCTTGTGAAAGGAAGGCCAAAACTCATTGAAAATTATTTATTTTTGACATTGTCAAACAGAATTACTATGGACAGGGCCAACTTAAAGTCTGTTTCAAAACATCTCTCTGTTGTCGGCGCTCTCTTCATTGCAGTCATTGATGTGCCGTTTGGCCACCCAACCGGCAAGAATTTGCCTTGATAATCTGTTGTTGATCATTCCACATTTTCTTATCGAGATTAAACTCATCAATATTTCATTTTGTAAATGGTCTTTTTATCACATAGTATATGTTTGTGTGTTTTCTTTTTCGTTTTTGTTTTTGAAAGTGTCTTTATTCAAAAGGTAAACAGGAACTTGGAGCCACCGATGCGAGTATCATTGACTCAACCCGGAAAATGTTTGGCTTCGCTTTGCATTCACACGAATTTGTAAAATAAAAGTATATTGTAAAGAATTTTCTGAGTTTTTGTGTTGAACTGTAAGGTTTCTTTATATTCGTAAAATTTCTCCTGTTAACAAAAATTACATGGTTTCCTTTGCAACCTATTTTGACGAAAACGGTGGTTCGGCCGTGAGAGAGACTAAACTATATTACACTGATCGAACTGATTTGAATTCGGTCCCAGTTCGGGGGGATTCGTCTGAATATTTAGTAATTAGTTTGTTAGCTATCTATTTCACGGGTTTATTATTGCACTCTATCTAACAGTCCCAAACTGACTAGCAGCCTATCGATCATGGTCGCGATAAACAAAAGGGTCAGAACTGAAAAGAAACAGAAAGTCATTTATCTCGCAAACCAGAAAACTTATAGCTTCGGTTTGCCGTTACTTAAAATTATAGATTCGGAAAATAAAAGTATATTAATTAGATCATATATAATAGGATCTACTGGGTCATACAAATATAAAAAAATTATTGTTAAGAGGCCCCTTAATCAATTCATTTATATACTAATGAATATATATACTATCTTTGAATTTGCGCGTTGTGAAGGCGTTATGAAAATTATACTATCATACACACACGAAAAGTCATCTTTTTATATAGGATTTTTTTAAATAAATTTACCATCTTAAGGGGTCTCTTAACAGTATTTTTTTATGTCTGTAAGACCCTATCATTTAGTACGTTGACGACTTTGAGCGGCTACCACTCATATATAGCCACTTCTCATTTTGTTGACGACATATGGAAACGATCAATAGTGATAACAGTGATATCTTTCTAATTTAAAATGCATTAATTGAATATATTGAAATTTTCCTCTTTAACAGTTAGAATCGTATCCGTGCACTCGTCGTATCCAAGAAGACTATTATACGATGGATTAAAATTAAAAAAAACCCCGAAACAATGAATGCTGCAGTATAAAGACAGCTGGATATTTGTTAATTAAAGCAGTCAAATTATAACACGAATTTTCAAGTTTCCGTAAAACAATGTGCACGCAAGATTGTCCGGTCTGAAGTTCGAAATCAAATCATCAAAACAATTATAACTCTCACACTCCGTCTGTCGAACTTAACTTCGGGTAAGAACTATAAGCTAACCGAACTTCAATACATCCTTTCTGTTCTTTTGCTTTTAGTACTTTAATATCCTTAATTTATCCTTGATTTCACAGTTGAAAACACAAAAAGAGTATTTTTCAAAGCTCGAGATGTTCATCTTCGAGAGGATGTCAGTCATATTTTGTCTGATTTTGATGATCGTTTTCTCAGCCCAGGCATCCAACAAAAAGTAAGTTCACGTAACCAAAAAAAATATTATATATATTAAATTCATATTGATTTCTTACCGATTCAGGCGAAATACAAACGCATCCAAACATTTTAGCCTTAAGTTTGGTGGGATCCACATCAAAGGATCTTTTGAAGTCACCGTAAATGGAGCTATCCCTGTTCCTCAGCTTGGTACAAGTAACAATCCAGCCCCGTCATGCAAGGCTATCCTCGAAAAAAACAGGTATTTTTATAAATTGTCAGTAGAAGGTTATTGCAATACGTCTATAAGTCATATATAGTTCGATTCAAGGACTTCATTCGTTTCAAATCACGCGGGTTCATTTTTACTTTGAGTCAGTGTGTAGCTTTACCAGTCGGACATGCTGTTATGAATACTGAATTACACAGACATTGCTTTTTGATTTGAGACTCAGTGTTAATTTTCTGAGACGAAATAAATAATATTTTTCTCACATCATCTCAGTGTGTTGCCGATGATTTTAAGGTTGAAATTCTCACATTTGAATTTTCTTGTCAAGGTGTTTTTGAAGCTTAGACAGATATTTGACATTTGGGATTGTTAAGTTTCATCTAATGTTTCCAAATGAAGAAACTGTAACTTTGTCCGTGTTTGCACAGCCCAAGACAAACACGAGATTCAGGAGACGAAGTCTCTTCCTGCAAGTGTTTTTGTTAACATTTGATGCTTTCGATTTTTAAGTTGTAAATGTGATCGTCTGTCCGCATTTCATAGTCTTTTTCCCATATTCGCTTATAGGAATTGGGAATTTAAAAAAAGGCAAATTTCATCGCTTGATTTTGTAGAGGTAGAAATTCTAATTTTAGGACAAGACAGAGCATTATAACAAAAGTACTAAGAAACTGTTTTCATTAATATATAGTGCAGCCCAAAGCGGTGTCTACTTCATCCAAACACACCCAACAGTGACCAAGGTGTACTGCTACATGGAGGATATCCCTGGGTGTGGTGGGGGTGGATGGACAACCATTATGAAAACAAACGGCAACAAGGTAATTAT